CGCAGCCCCAGCAGCGGGGCAGGGCAGAGCGGTGCTGGCCCCACGGCAGCCCCAGGGGCTTGGGGCTGCTCCCGGGCCCTCCTCACTCACTTGTGCTCCACCTCGGCCAGGGCCTTGCGCACGGCCGCGTATTTGACGTTGGCGTCGGTCAGGGCCTTGAGCACGTTCTCCTGGGCAGCCAGGTTCTGCTCCAGGTACACCTTGAGCTGGTCGTACTTCTTGAGCTGCTCCTCAAAGAGCTTCTGCGGGGACACGGGAGGGTCGGCGGGGCCCAGGGACGGGGCGGCCCCAGCGGGGTCCCCGCGCCCACCTTCATCTCGGAGCGGTCGGTGGTGACCAGCGAGGTGGTGATGTCGTCCTTCTGGATCATCTCCCGCAGCTGCTGCTCCAGGGACATCCGCTGGTCCCGCATCTCCTGCACCTTGGCCAGGATCCGCTTCAGGTTCTGCAGCACCTGTTTGTCGTCTGGGGCGGGGGGTCAGGGCTGAGGAACCCCAGGGACCCCGCGGGGGGATCTGCAGAGCCAGGCCTTGCCTGGGACCCCCCTGTCCCCTCTGTCCCCAGCCAGGAGCCACTCTGCACGGTCCCTTGGGGACAAACCCCCGCCCCAGACACAGACACAGCCAGGGGACACACGGGGACCCCCGAGGGGGGGCACAGAGAGGGACAGCCCTGCCCCCCTCCAGCCCAGGGACACCGCCAGTCCCCTGTGGGGACACAAGGGGTACAGCCCTGCCCCCCCAGCTGGGAGGGGACACTGCCAGTCCCCTGTGGGGACAGAGAGGGACAGCCCTGCCTCCCCCAGCCAGGGGGGGACACTGCCAGTCCCCTGTGGGGACACAAGGGGTACAGCCCTGCCCCCCTAGCTGGGAGGGGACACTGCCAGTCCTCTGGGGGGACACAGAGAGGGACAGCCCTGCCTCCCCCGGCCCAGGGACACTGCCAGTCCCCTGTGGGGACACAGAGAGGGACAGCCCTGCCTCCCCCGGCCCGAGGGGGACACAAGGGGTACAGCCCTGCCCCCCCAGCCCCCCATGGCAGCCTCACCTTCAGAGAG